AGAATGTTTACAGACTTTTAGGTATTTTTATACCAAAGTAACTAAAACGGTGTTTTTCACATAAAATTATCAAAAGGAGGGTAAAAAAGCAAAAAAATAAAAAAACAGGCTAAATTTTTCCCTTATGGGCCAAGGGAAAAATGAAGCCATTTTTGCGAGTACAGACAGTAGTCTGTGCTTTTGCCTAAAAAAGCAGAATTTGTCTTAAAACAAATCAAAACATCGCTTTTTTCGAAGCATTTACGAAAAGTGAGATTTTAAATTAGCAATCAATTAAATCCGAAAGGTTTGACGAAAAGTGTAATTTTGAGTTTCAAATTCGATGGAAATTGTATTGTTTTCATAAAAGGCAACAAAATCGAACAAACTTCGTACATTTTTTAGTTTCCAACGACTTCAATTGGAAAGGTTTTGACGAAAAAACAGTACAACGAAGTGGTATCCATTAGATAAAAATAACACAATTTTAAATGCAATTTGCAAAAAAAAAGTACGACGGAAATTTTTTCATTAATATAGAGGAAAGTAAAAATGTTCACTTATTTTTTTTCGATAAAAATGTTTACAGACTTTTAAGTATTTTTATACCAAAGTAACTAAAAAAGGTGTTTTTCACATAAAATTACCAAAAAGAGGGTAAAAAAGCAAAAAAATAAAAAAACAGGCTAAATTTTTCCCTTATGGGCCAAGGGAAAAATGAAGCCATTTTTGCGAGTACAGACAGTAGTCTGTGCTTTTGCCTAAAAAAGCACAATTTGTCTTAAAACAAATCAAAATATCGCTTTTTTCGAAGCATTTACGAAAAGTGAGATTTTAAATTAGCAATCAATTAAATCCGAAAGGTTTGACGGAAAAAACAGTAACAAATCTTTCTGTGTTTTTCAACAACTATCGATAAAATCAGAAAGGTTTGACGAAAAGTGTAATTTTGAGTTTCAAATTCGATGGAAATTGTATTGTTTTCATAAAAAGCAACAAAATCGAACAAACTGCGTACATTTTTTAGTTTCCAACGACTCCAATTGGAAAGGTTTTGACGAAAAACAGTACAACGAAGTGGTATCCATTAGATAAAAATAACACAATTTTAAATGCAATTTGCAAAAAAGTATGACGGAAATTTTTCATTAATATAGAGGAAAGTAAAAATGTTCACTTATTTTTTTCGATAAAAATGTTTACAGACTTTTAAGTATTTTTATACCAAAGTAACTAAAAAGGTGTTTTTCACATAAAATTACCAAAAGAGGGTAAAAAGCAAAAAATAAAAACAGGCTAAATTTTTCCTTATGGGCCAAGGGAAAAATGAAGCCATTTTTGCGAGTACAGACAGTAGTCTGTGCTTTTGCCTAAAAAAGCACAATTTGTCTTAAAACAAATCAAAATATCGTTTTTTAGAAGCATTTACGAAAAGTGAGATTTTAAATTAGCAATCAATTAAATCCGAAAGGTTTGACGGAAAAACTGTAACAAATCTTTCTGCGTTTTTCAACAACCATCGATAAAATTAGAAAGGTTTGACGAAAAGTGTAATTTTGAGTTTCAAATTCGATAGAAATTGTATTGTTTTCATAAAAAGCAACAAAATCGAACAAACTGCGTACATTTTTTAGTTTCCAACGACCCCAATTGGAAAGGTTTTGACGAAAAAACAGTAAAACGAAGTTGTATTAAATAAAAATAACACAATTTTAAATGCAATTTGCAAAAAAAAAGTACGACGGAAATTTTTTCATTAATATAGAGAAAAGTAAAAATGTTCACTTATTTTTTTTTCGATAAAAATGTTTACAGACTTTTAGGTATTTTTATACCAAAGTAACTAAAAAAGGTGTTTTTCACATAAAATTACCAAAAGAGGGTAAAAAAGCAAAAAATTAAAAAAACAGGCTAAATTTTTCCCTTATGGGCCAAGGGAAAAATTTAGCCATTTTTGCGAGTACAGACAGTAGTCTGTGCTTTTGCCTAAAAAAGCACAATTTGTCTTAAAACAAATCAAAATATCGTTTTTTTAGAAGCATTTACGAAAAATGAGATTTTAAATTAGCAATCAATTAAATCCGAAAGGTTTGACGGAAAAAACTGTAACAAATCTTTCTGCGTTTTTCAACAACCATCGATAAAATCAGAAAGGTTTGACGAAAAGTGTAATTTTGAGTTTCAAATTCGATAGAAATTGTATTGTTTTCATAAAAAGCAACAAAATCGAACAAACTGCGTACATTTTTTAGTTTCCAACGACTCCAATTGGAAAGGTTTTGACGAAAAAACAGTAAAACGAAGTTGTATTAAATAAAAATAACACAATTTTAAATGCAATTTGCAAAAAAAAGTACGACGGAAATTTTTTCATTAATATAGAGAAAAGTAAAAATGTTCACTTATTTTTTTTTCGATAAAAATGTTTACAGACTTTTAGGTATTTTTATACCAAAGTAACTAAAAAAGGTGTTTTTCACATAAAATTACCAAAAGAGGGTAAAAAAGCAAAAAAATAAAAAAACAGGCTAAATTTTTCCCTTATGGGCCAAGGGAAAAATGAAGCCATTTTTGCGAGTACAGACAGTAGTCTGTGCTTTTGCCTAAAAAAGCACAATTTGTCTTAAAACAAATCAAAATATCGTTTTTTTAGAAGCATTTACGAAAAGTGAGATTTTAAATTAGCAATCAATTAAATCCGAAAGGTTTGACGGAAAAAACTGTAACAAATCTTTCTGCGTTTTTCAACAACCATCGATAAAATCAGAAAGGTTTGACGAAAAGTGTAATTTTGAGTTTCAAATTCGATAGAAATTGTATTGTTTTCATAAAAGCAACAAAATCGAACAAACTGCGTACATTTTTAGTTTCCAACGACTCCAATAGGAAAGGTTTTGACGAAAAACAGTAAAACGAAGTTGTATTAAATAAAAATAACACAATTTTAAATGCAATTTGCAAAAAAGTACGACGGAAATTTTTTCATTAATATAGAGAAAAGTAAAAATGTTCACTTATTTTTTTTTCGATAAAAATGTTTACAGACTTTTAGGTATTTTTATACCAAAGTAACTAAAAAAGGTGTTTTTCACATAAAATTACCAAAAGAGGGTAAAAAAGCAAAAAAATAAAAAAACAGGCTAAATTTTTCCCTTATGGGCCAAGGGAAAAATGAAGCCATTTTTGCGAGTACAGACAGTAGTCTGTGCTTTTGCCTAAAAAAGCACAATTTGTCTTAAAACAAATCAAAATATCGTTTTTTTAGAAGCATTTACGAAAAGTGAGATTTTAAATTAGCAATCAATTAAATCCGAAAGGTTTGACGGAAAAAACTGTAACAAATCTTTCTGCGTTTTTCAACAACCATCGATAAAATCAGAAAGGTTTGACGAAAAGTGTAATTTTGAGTTTCAAATTCGATAGAAATTGTATTGTTTTCATAAAAGCAACAAAATCGAACAAACTGCGTACATTTTTAGTTTCCAACGACTCCAATTGGAAAGGTTTTGACGAAAAACAGTAAAACGAAGTTGTATTAAATAAAAATAACACAATTTTAAATGCAATTTGCAAAAAAGTACGACGGAAATTTTTCATTAATATAGAGAAAAGTAAAAATGTTCACTTATTTTTTTCGATAAAAATGTTTACAGACTTTTAGGTATTTTTATACCAAAGTAACTAAAAAGGTGTTTTTCACATAAAATTACCAAAAGAGGGTAAAAAGCAAAAAATAAAAACAGGCTAAATTTTTCCCTTATGGGCCAAGGGAAAATGAAGCCATTTTTGCGAGTACAGACAGTAGTCTGTGCTTTTGCCTAAAAAGCACAATTTGTCTTAAAACAAATCAAAATATCGTTTTTTAGAAGCATTTACGAAAAGTGAGATTTTAAATTAGCAATCAATTAAATCAGAAAGGTTTGACGGAAAAACTGTAACAAATCTTTCTGCGTTTTTCAACAACCATCGATAAAATCAGAAAGGTTTGACGAAAAGTGTAATTTTGAGTTTCAAATTCGATAGAAATTGTATTGTTTTCATAAAAGCAACAAAATCGAACAAACTGCGTACATTTTTAGTTTCCAACGACTCCAATTGGAAAGGTTTTGACGAAAAAACAGTAAAACGAAGTTGTATTAAATAAAAATAACACAATTTTAAATGCAATTTGCAAAAAAAAGTACGACGGAAATTTTTCATTAATATAGAGAAAAGTAAAAATGTTCACTTATTTTTTTCGATAAAAATGTTTACAGACTTTTAGGTATTTTTATACCAAAGTAACTAAAAAGGTGTTTTTCACATAAAATTACCAAAAGAGGGTAAAAAGCAAAAATAAAAACAGGCTAAATTTTTCCCTTATGGGCCAAGGGAAAAATGAAGCCATTTTTGCGAGTACAGACAGTAGTCTGTGCTTTTGCCTAAAAAAGCACAATTTGTCTTAAAACAAATCAAAATATCGTTTTTTTAGAAGCATTTACGAAAAGTGAGATTTTAAATTAGCAATCAATTAAATCCGAAAGGTTTGACGGAAAGTGTAATTTTGAGTTTCAAATTCGATGGAAATTGTATTGTTTTCATAAAAAGCAACAAAATCGAACAAACTGCGTACATTTTTTAGTTTCCAACGACTCCAATTGGAAAGGTTTTGACGAAAAAACAGTAAAACGAAGTTGTATTAAATAAAAATAACACAATTTTAAATGCAATTTGCAAAAAAAAAGTACGACGGAAATTTTTTCATTAATATAGAGAAAAGTAAAAATGTTCACTTATTTTTTTTTCGATAAAAATGTTTACAGACTTTTAGGTATTTTTATACCAAAGTAACTAAAAACGGTGTTTTTCACATAAAATTACCAAAAAGAGGGCAAAGTTTTAGCAAAAAATGTTGTTTTATGATTTTTTGCAGACTTAATCTAATAAAAGTAGACTTTTGTTTCTATGGAAATAACGATCAAAAGATGTGTGTTTATTATAAACTTATATTTATAATAAAAAATAACATTAAAATTTGAAAAGTTAGCAAGAAGCAGAGGTTCGCTTATCGGGCTCATGCCCCGGAGGTCGTTGGTTCGATTCCAACTGTTAACATAAAAATATTATTTTTATTAATTTTTATTTATAAGTTTAAAAGATTAATTTGACATATAAATAAAAATAGTAACTGTGGTATCGTTAAAAAAAAGGTGGGTGGTTTTTGTAGTAATACAAGTGATATAGGTGGGTGCGTCTGTTTGTGCTATTTTAATAAAAATTTAAAATTAAATGTTGTTTAAAATTTTTCATACAGACGCTCCAACCTACTGGCAGATGGGTTTCCAAGACCCTGCCAGTATATCCATGGAAGGTATCTTAATATTTAATAAGCACCTGACATTTTTGTTAATCGTAATCGTTTTATTTGTAGGCTGGTTTTTAGTGTTAACCGTCTATTATTTTGTTGAATTTCACAATAAGTATAATTCTAAATTTGTTCATTCAAAAGAATTAGAGATTGTGTGGACTTCTGTGCCGGCTTTAATACTTCTTTTACTAGCTACCCCATCGTTTACTCTTTTATATTCTATGGATGAAATCTCTGATCCTGAATTATCTTTAAAAATTTTAGGACATCAATGGTTTTGGAGTTACGAAATCTCAGATTTTAACTCTTGTCAAAAAAAACCAAAATTTAAAATATGTTTGTTATATGATGGTTCTAGACGGGCTTCCAAAGAATAAACAAGGATATTTCCGATTATTAGAAACAAATAAACGTGTAGTATTACCAACTAATACCCATTTACGGGTATTGATAAGTGCTGCTGATGTTTTACACAGCTGGACTATTCCTTCGTTTGGTTTAAAAATAGACGCTTGTCCTGGTAGATTAAATCAAGTTAATCTATTTATTAAACGTATTGGTGTATTTTTTGGTCAATGTAGTGAAATTTGTGGGGTAAATCACGGGTTTATGCCTATAGTGGTTGTGGCTCTACCAACTTTACAATTTCATAATTATATTATGACTAAATTAGAACTAAGCAATAATTAAAAGTTATTGTCATCTCAACAGTTAAGCTTGTAGCTCAGGGGTTAGAGCGTACGCCTGATAAGCGTAAAGCCAGTAGTTCAAATCTACTTAAGCTTAAAAATTTAGTATTCGCCATGACTTTAAAAAAAATCTTTATTGAAAAAATAAAAATTTTACTATTAATTTTGGCCCACAGCATCCTGCAGCTCACGGAGTTTTACGTTTAATCTTAGAACTTGATGGGGAAGTTATTTTGAGAGCAGAACCTCATATAGGTCTGTTGCACAGAGGTACTGAAAATTAATAGAATATAAAAATTATATTCAAGCATTACCTTATTTAGATCGATTAGATTATGTGTCTATGATGGCACAAGAACACTCATATTGTTTGGCTGTTGAGAAATTATTCAACGCAAAAATTCCAAAAAGAGCACAATATATAAGGGTTTTATTTGCTGAGATCACACGAATTTTAAATCATTTACTTGCCGTAGGGTGTCATGCTATGGATGTTGGTGCTATGACCCCTTTTTTATGGGCATTTGAGGAGAGAGAAAAACTAATGGAATTTTATGAACGTGTATCAGGAGCAAGGTTACACTCATCGTATTTTAGACCTGGTGGAGTTCATTTAGATTTACCTAAAGGGCTTTTAACAGATATTTATATATTTGTTGAGCAATTTAATTTAAGGCTTGTTGAAATGGAAGATATGCTAACAGAAAATCGCATATGGAAACAGCGATTAATAAACATTGGGGTGGTTTCAGTAAAAGACGCATATGATTGGGGTTTTAGTGGTGTTATGTTAAGAGGTTCTGGTATTAGTTGGGATTTAAGAAAAAGTCAACCTTATGAAATTTATAGAGAAGTGGATTTTAAAATACCTGTAGGTAAAAATGGAGATTGTTATGATCGGTATTTGGTAAGAGTGTTTGAGATGCGAGAATCTATTAAAATTATTAAGCAATGCTTAATTCAAATACCTCACGGGCCTATAAAATCGACAGATAATAAGTTAATACCACCATCTAGGTATAAAATTAAACAATCAATGGAATCTTTAATACATCATTTTGAAATGTATACACAAAGTTTTACCATACCTGCAAGCGAAACTTATGTAGGGACTGAGGCCCCTAAAGGTGAATTCGGTGTGTATTTAGTGTCTGACGGAAGTAATAGGCCTTATAGGTGTAAAATTAAAGCTCCAGGGTTTAGTCATTTGCAAGCATTAAATCATATGTCCAAAGGACACATGATTGCTGACGTTGTGACTATAATAGGTACTCAAGATATTGTATTTGGTGAAGTTGATAGATAAATTTTAAGTGATGTCTAATAATATAATTGTTACAGAAAATTTTAAGAATATATCTCAAATTTGTCCAATTAAAAAAATTCAATACTATAATTCAGAAATTATTTTAATTGTTCAAACTAATGATATATTAGAGATTCTATTATTTTTTAAAAATCATTTTTTATGTCAATTTAAAATATTAACAAGTATATCAGGAGTGGATTATCCAAAGAGTCTTTATAGGTTTGTTGTTGTATATGATTTGTTAAGTATTCGATATAATACAAGACTTAAGCTAAAAATTTTTACTTATGAATTAGGTAGTATTTTTTCTGTTACGTCCGTTTTTTCTGCTGCAGGGTGGTTTGAATCAGAGGTTTGGGATATGTTTGGGGTTTTTTTTAAGAACCATTCAAATCTTAAAAGAATTTTAACTGATTATGGTTTTAATGGGTATCCGTTACGAAAAGACTTTCCTTTAAGTGGTTTTATAGAAATGCGTTATAGTGAAACTCAAAAACGAGTTATTAATGAGTCGATCGAATTAAGTCAAGAGTATAGGACTTTCAACTTTATATCACCTTGGGCTAATTAATTTTTATGAAAAAACAAGTACGAAAAGATAAAATAAATAGAAACCTTTTATTTTTAAATGAAATAAAAAGGTTTCTTTTAAAAAATATAGTAAAAAATAACAATCTTTCAATTTATATACGATGGAAAGCTGAGTTAACAATAGCAAAAATGCCTAAGGGAGGCTCTTCTACTGTTTATTGTAACAGGTGTATTATAACAGGTAGACGAAAAAGAATTAATAAATTTTACAGTTTTTCACGTATAATGTTTTTAAGACTTGCTAGATTTGGATATCTTTGTTCTTTAAAAAAATCAAGCTGGTAAAAATAAATATTCTTTCAGTCCTTATCGTCTAGTGGTTTAGGACCTTACCCTTTCACGGTAGTAACACGGGTTCAAATCCCGTTAAGGATACTTTTAAAATGTTTTCTTTGATTATTCGTTGTAAAATAGTGAATGTATTCTATTATTTTGAATCAGCTATTTTTTAATAATACTTAATCTTTCGATGTGTATCTGTGTATACTAAAAGGAAAGATGACTGAGCGGTTTAAAGTGAAGATCTGCTAAATCTTTATATAGCAGAAACTATATCGAAGGTTCGAATCCTTTTCTTTCCAAAAACACTAAGATGGTATAAAGTTTTAAATATAATATATTTACATAAAACAAAATTACTTTAAGTTTTATAACGTTTTTATGGAAAAGATCTGCCAAAATTCAGTTTTAATATAAAAGAAGTTAACTATTTTAATTTTAAAAATGATAATTGAAACTATGAAATTAAGTGAAATGAGTGTGTTTACAGAATTTTTTTTAGGTATTTCTATTATGTATTTAATTATTCATTGTCTTTTCATCTCTATTAATAGCCAACATGGGTTTCCATTAATACAGTCTTCTTTAATAAATCTATCTGTTTTAACTATTTTTATGTCTTGTTGCCTTTTATGGAATGATTGTTTAGGAAGTTTACGATACGTAAGTTTTTCTAATACAATTATTAATGACTATTTAAGTTTTAGTTCTAGATTTATCATAGGCATTTCTTCTTTAATTTGTTTATTGTTAATTAAACAGTATTTAATTGCTCAAAAAATTAACTCTTTTGAATATGTTATTATTTTACTGTTTGCGGTTTTAGGATTATTTTTACTGTGTTCTTCCAATGATTTAATGACTACTTATTTAGCTATAGAATTGCAAAGTTTGTCGTTTTATTTGTTAACAGCTTTTAAAAAAAACTCATCTTATTCTGTAGAGAGCGGTTTAAAATATTTTATTTTAGGATCTTTTTCTTCAGGATTGTTTTTGTTCGGTTCTTCATTAATTTACGGTGCATTAGGTACTGTTAATTTTTCCGAACTGCGCGATTTAAACATTTTCTATGCTAATAATAATTCTTTAATGTCAATAATAGATTCAAACGGTATTAGTTTACTCTATTTTAATAGTCTATCATCTTTTAATTATAAAATTATTTTAGAGACAGGAAATTTTTTAATAATAGGGTTACTATTTATTTTTGTAAGTTTATTTTTCAAATTAGCGCTAGCCCCTTTCCATATGTGGTCGCCAGATATTTATGAAAATTCTCCCACAAGTTCAGCTTTTTTTTTTGCTATAGTTCCCAAAATTAGTATTTTTATTGTGATTTTACGTTTTTCTTCTTCTGTTCTTATTTCAGATTTATCTTGGTCAAAAGGTGTAGTTTCATTAGTTGCTGTATTAAGTATCGTTGTAGGTTCTTTAGGTGGATTAGAACAACGAAAATTCAAAAGTTTGTTGGCATATAGTTCTATTAGTCACATGGGGTATTTATTAATTTCGTATATTTCCGAATCTTTCGATGGTTTTCATATGTTATTTTGTTATTTAATTGTGTATATAAGTTCAGGATTATGTATTTGGTCTGTTTTTATGTTTTTACGTCTAAAAAAAACTAACGAAAAAAAACAAAATAGAGATTTAGCTGATTTTGTTTTGTTAGCTAAATCAAATAAAATATTAGCAATTATTTTAATGACAGCACTTTTTTCAATAGCAGGTGTACCGCCAATGGTAGGTTTTTTAGCAAAATTAAACATATTACTTGCTATTGTTAAAAAAGTATGTATTTTATAGCATTTTTATTTTAATGTTCAGTATAGTATCTACGTTTTTTATTTAAGAATTGTGAAAATTTTATTTTTGAACCTTGCATAGTGGGTAATTGTACTTCCCAATAACTTCCAGAAAAGTTGTTATTGTTGTTCTTTTGTTTTACTTTTTTATTTTCTTTTGTAAATCCTACAATGCTTTACTTGGTAACGTATAAAATGAGTTTGCTATTCATAATATAAAACATTTTTAGCTCAGTTGGATAGAGCAACAGCCTTCTAAGTTGACGGTCATAGGTTCAAATCCTATAAAATGTGTTTATATAAAAATGTTTAGCTTAAAAAATTTATTGATTTATTTACTTATGTTGCCTTTATTTGGCGTTTTCCAGTTATTAAATACCCTGTCTTCTGATTTAAATTCACTTAAAATAATAAGTTTTAGAACTTCATGCATTACTTTTCTATTATCTTTTATATGACAATAATTTTTAAACCAACAGTAGGAACTTTTCAATTTGTAAAAAAACTCTTGGTTACATTTATTAAATGTTAATTTAAATTTAGGAATAGATGGTATTTCTTTATTTTTTGTTTTGTTAACTACATTATTAATTGCTTTATGCTTGTTAATTAGTTGGGAAACCGTTAAACTTAATTTAAAAGAGTATTTAATTTCTTTTCTAGTAATGGAATTTTTTTTAATAGGAGTGTTCTGCGTATTAGATTTATTAATGTTTTATATCTTTTTTGAAAGCGTTTTAATTCCAATGTTTTTAATAATAGGTGTATGGGGTTCAAGAGAACGAAAAATTCGTGCAGCTTACTTTTTTTTTCTATACACGTTAACCGGTTCTATTCTAATGTTGCTATCAATTTTGTATATATATCTTCAATCAGGCACCACGGATTACGAAATATTGTTAACATTTACTTTTTCATTGTTTGAACAACAGTTACTTTGGTTCACGTTTTTCCTTTCATTTGCGGCTAAAGTACCTATGGTTCCTGTACACTTATGGTTACCTGAAGCCCATGTAGAAGCTCCTACTGCAGGTTCTGTAATATTAGCAGGTGTTTTACTTAAACTTGGTACTTATGGTTTTTAAGATTCTCATTACCATTATTTCCTGAAGCATCTTTTTATTTTTCTCCTCTAGTTTATACCATGGCTGTAATAGGAATTGTTTATCCGTCATTTACTGCAATTCGTCAAACGGATTTTAAACGAATTATTGCTTATACGTCAATTGCTCACATGAATTTAGTTATGTTAGGTATTTTTAGTTTTAATACTATAGGTCTTGAAGGTGCTATTTTACAAAGCTTAAGTCACGGATTCGTTGCTAGTGCTTTATTTTTAATAATAGGTGTTGTGTATGATAGGCATGGTACCAGAATGGTTAAATATTATGGTGGTTTAGTACATGTTATGCCTCTATATGTTATCATATTTCTTTTTTACTTTGGCAAACATAGGGCTTCCTGGCACAAGCAGCTTTGTAGGTGAATTTTTAATTTTAGCAGGGTCTTTTAAAACCAATACAAGTGTTAGTTTTATAGGTGCCAGCAGTATGATTATAGGGGTTGTTACTCTTTATGGTTGTTTAATCGTATAGCTTATGGTAATCTAAAAACTCAATATTTTAATAGTTTTTTAGATTTAAATAAAAGAGAGTTTGTAGTATTTGTTCCTCTAATATTAGGTACATTTATTATGGGTTTAATACCTGATATTTTCTTAAATTCAATTCATATGAGTGTAAATTTATTAACAGAATTGCTTTATTTTTAAAATGGTTTACTTATTAGAAACTAACTTACACGAAAATAAATCAATTTTTTTGCTTTAAAAAATATATGGTATAGGTAAAAGTCGTGCCTTTAATATATGTAAAACCCTTGGGTTTTCAGAAAATTTAAAAGTTAAGAATCTGTCTGAAGAGCAGATTAAAAACTATTAATTTTGGTAGAAAATTCAGAAATATTAATTACTAGTGATTTAAAAAGGCAAAAACTTAATCATAAAAATTTAGTTTTTATAAAATCTTACAGAGGACTCAGAAAAATTAAAGGTTTACCTGTAAGAGGACAAAGAACGCATACAAATGGAAGAACGGCACGTAAAATTAAAAATTAACTTTTGAAGTTTAGAAGTAAAGGCTATTTCTTGCAAATAATATTTAGATTTCTTGGTTCAATTCCAAGATTACTTTGTGACAATACATTCAAATATTTATAGTAAATTTACAAAAGTCTCTGCTCCAAATATTTTTCTAAATTTATACAGTCTTGGTATTTCTTTTTACAAACCTTTCGATGGTGTAAAAATTTTATACTAGCTTTTAGACAATCATATTATTCACTATCCGACTCCCATAAATTTAACTTATGCTTGGAGTTTTGGTTCATCAGCAGGTATATGTTTAATTATTCAAATGATATCAGGTATTTTTTTAGCAATGCATTACACACCCCATATAGACTTAGCATTTAGCAGTGTAGAGCATATTATGAGAGATGTTAATCATGGTTGGTTAATTCGTTATATTCATGCTAATGGTGCATCTATGTTTTTTATTGTAGTGTATTGCCACATTTTCCGCGGCTTATATTATGGTTCTTACATGCACCCTAGACAATTATTATGGTGCAGTGGTGTTTTAATCTTTATTTTAATGATGGCGACAGCTTTTATGGGTTATGTGTTACCCTGGGGTCAAATGAGTTTTTGGGGCGCTACTGTTATTACAAGTTTAGTTACAGCTCTCCCTGTAATAGGACAAACTATTGTCGATTGGCTATGGGGAGGATTTACGGTAAATAATGCTACTTTAAATAGATTTTTTAGTATACATTTTTTTTTACCTTTTGTAATAGCTGGTTTAACAATCATTCACTTAGCTTTATTACACAAAGATGGTTCAACAAATCCGTTGGGTGCTGAAAGCGGTGGCGATAAAATTTCATTTTATCCTTATTTTTTCGTTAAAGATTTATACGCTTTTTTTGTATTCGTCTTCATTTTTGCTGTTTTTGTTTACTTTTTCCCCAATACATTGGGTCATCCAGACAATTATATTCCTGCTGACCCAATGCACACACCAGCGCATATAGTGCCTGAATGGTATTTTTTACGTGCGTCATCTAATTTACTCATTGCTAGTTGAATTAGCCGTTCAACATGGTTTACTCTAATAACCATTAAAACAACCGACTTATCCGAGTCTAGTAATAGATCATTAGTTCGAAAGAATAGGGGAGTGCAGCATGTCGGTAAAGGTATACCCGGACTTATCCAACATAGTCTAAGACGTGTATCGAGTTATTGTAAATATGTATATTTAAGTTTTGAGAAGCAGGAAATTGTACCGTCCATCAAGGGTTGGAATAAACCTTGGTTCACAGCGTTGCGAGATACTGGTAAGAGATCTTGTAATAGAGTTGCTGTGATGCTTTCCACAAATAGTGGCAGAAATCAATATGCTAAGTTTACGAAAGTTTTCTCTATGAAACTTTTAGGCGGCAGTGAGTTAAAGAATTTGAGATTGCCTAAGGGAAGCAATTCCTATGGTAACAGAGTTTTCATAGTAACTAGAAATTTTGCTAGTGAAGGAAAACAGCTAAAATCGTCTGATAAAAAGAACTTAGCTATGAAAAGTGGTTTTGATCTTCTTAAAGATATTGCGGATGGGCAACTTAACCCATCAAAAGATGTATATCGCATTATATGTGATCCCCAAGTATTAAAAGCAGGTTATGTAAAACTTAAGTCAAATCCAGCATCTATGACTCCTGGAGTAGATGAAAAGAATTTAAATGACTTGCGAATTAACGATCAATATTTTATGGATTTAGCGAATAAATTAAAGCAAGAAATCTATAAGCCAAAACCAACAAAAAAGGTTTTTATACCTAAAACTAATGGAAAGACGCGTCCTTTAGGCATACCTGTAATTGAGGATCGGATAGTCCAATATGCTTTGTTATATTTATTAGAAGCAGTCTTTGAAAAAACGTTTAGTGATCGAAGTCATGGATATCGACCAAAAAGAGGGGCACACACTACATGCAAAAATATTAGAAAGTGGAAAGGTGTCAGTTGGTTTATAGAAGGAGATATTGTAAATTACTTTGATACAATTAACCATAATAAACTGATGGAAATAATAAATCGGCAGATTAAAGATCAACAAATTATTGATTTATTGTGAAGTTCCTTAGAGCAGGAGTAGTGATAGATAATCAGTATCAAAAACGACAATTGGTATACCACAAGGTAGTATAATTAGTCCTATTTTAAGTAACATTTATTTACATTGCTTTGATATGTATATAGATAAACTAAAAAAAGAACTTGATACTGAAAAAACTAGTGAGCCAAATCCCGAATATATTAGTGTGAAGTCTAGGTTGCGTTCTAAAAGAGGAATTGATAAAAAAAAGGGTTATAAAGAGCTCCAGAATATTAAATCAACAATAAGAACAGGCCTAAAGCTGTATTACGTACGCTATGCTGATGACTGGTTACTTGGTATTTGGGGTTCAAAAAAAGATACACAAAGAATTCGAGACGAAATCGAAATCTTTTTAAAAGAAAAACTAGATCTAGAACTATCGCCCGAAAAGACAAGAATCAAACACGCGGGTAAAGAAAAAGTGCAGTTTTTAGGTTATGACATTTATTCACCAACACCAAAAGAATCGTTTTTCGCAAAAGGTAATGTTAAAAAAAGAGTTTCGCATGTGAGCATATACATTGATGCTCCCTATCGTAAACTTAAAGAACAACTTATTGAAGAAAACATTCTAGTAGAAAAAAATGGTAAGTGGCTAATAAATGCAGTAACGCATTGGCTTAATTATAACCATGCTGAAATTTTATATCGTTATAACTGGATGATTAATGGTTACTTAAATTATTATTCACATGTAAATAATTTTAACATATTCCATAAGCTTATAGGTTTAGTATTACGTCATTCTTGTGCAATAACCTTAGGAAGAAAGCTCAAACTTGACAGTCGTAAAAAGTTTTAAAAAGTTTGGCAAAATCTTGAAGAGCCAACGACAAAGTTAAAGTTATCAATACCGGATAACTTTAAAAGTAATATTAAAAATTATAAAATTACGACTAAAAGTGATCCTCTTAAAATTCTTAAGTGGGTAATACGAACTCAAAATTTGATGCAAGGACCTTGTGTAGGCTGTGGTGCAACAAATAATCTTGAAATACATCATGTGAAAAAATTGTCTAACACCATTAAAACTAAAACTCCTATTCATAGAATCATGTCGAAATTGGGGAGAAAACAGGTACCTGTCTGTATAAAATGTCACAAAGATATACATAGTGGGACTTTTGATAAAAATAAGTCACTACGAAAAGCAAGATAGATTTTGGTGGAGAGCTCAGTGCAGTGAAAGTTGCACGCTGAGTTCGGAGGGGAGTTATTGGGTAGCCTTGCTTATCTTCTTTTAATACTATTTATTATTGAAAGCAAGGTTCTGGTTTCTTACCCTATCTTTTTATGCGATTCTAAGGTCAATTCCTGATAAAGTAGGTGGTGTATCTGCTATGGTAGGGGCTTTGTTAGTATTATTTATTATACCATTTACAAACACATCAAAAATAAAAAGTACTAATTACAGACCTATCTTTAAAATATGTTATTGGTTATTAGTCACTGATTTTATTATTTTAACTTGGGTAGGCCAAAAACCTATTAAAAATACTTATATTCTTATTGGTCAATTAGCAACTGCCTATTATTTTTTATTCTTTATTTTTTTGATTCCTGTTGTAGGTTTTATTGAGACTAAATTGCTCGAATTTGGTCTACTAAAAAAACAAAACAATAAAAATTAAAACTTTACGGTAATCTTCTTAAAACAACTTTGTTTTTGAGATTATCATTCACATATAATAATTTTTAATGAAAAGTAAATATACTTTTATATGTTATTAACACCGTTAGAGCAATTTCAAATTATCAAGTTGTTACCTTTAGTTTTTTTAGGGCTAGACTTATCTGTTACCAATTTTTTAGTTATTAATATTTTAACATTAGGTTTTTTATTAGTATTGTTTACTATTTTAGTATAAAACAAAATATAACAAATCAAACAGCTTTTTTTTAATACCTAATAGTTGGCAAGTTTGTGTAGAAACTCTTTATGACGTAGTTTCTCAATTATTGTTTGATAATGTTAATATTGAAGGTGAAAATATTTTCCTTATATATCTATGATCTTTATTTTTATTATTTTTAATAATCTAATCGGTTTAATTCCTTATAGTTTTACGGTTACAAGCCATATTATTGTTACTTTTACTCTTTCTTTTTCTATTTTTATTGGTATAAATGTTATTGGATTTAAAAAGCATAGTTTAAAAATGTTATCCCTTATAATTCCAGCAAATTCAACAATAGCATTAGCACTAGTATTAGTTCCAATAGAGTTTGTTTCTTATATAGCAAAACCTGTAAGTTTAGGGGTTCGATTATTTATTAATTTAATGGCAGGTCACACTCTTTTAAAAGTTATTGTAGGTTTCGCTTGGAGTATGTTATTACTGGAAGATCTAGTAGCAATGATTCATTTAGTTCCTCTATTTTTATTAGTTATTTTAATGGGTTTAGAGCTCTGTGTCGCATTAATACAAGCATATGTTTTACAATTTTAACGTGTATCTATCTAAATGATAGTGTTCATTTACATTAATTATCGTAATTTAAAAGACGTATGTATTTAAATATAGCGATAAGATCAAAAATTATAATTCTTTAAAATCTTTTTACGTATTTTCAAAACTTTAACCAAGACTGAAGAGTTAAAATTAAATAAAATTTTAAAAGTTTTTCAGCATAAAAGGTTTAAAAAGTATTTACGATTTTGAGATCACCTCATGTAAATAAAAGTGCGCAAGAACAATTCGAGTACAATTTATTTGTAAAATATGTGAATATAAAATCACAGCAAATATTAAAGATTTTAATTATTTTAAAAAAAATAAAAACAATATCTTTTTCGGACATAGAAATAAAATTAAAATTTATAATTAATTCTATATCAAAAAAAGATATCTCTAGTTATAATTTAAAATCAAAAAAAATTAGAATTGTTTCTAAAAAAAAAAAGAGAAAAAGTTTGAAATTAAAAAAAAAGAGGAAGACTTATAGTGCTTTTAGTAGAGTTGAACAAATTAAATTATATTTAATATATCTAGGTTTGTATGGAAAATCCTGTTTTTAAAACAGTCTAAATAGCTCAGCAGGTAGAGCAAAGGACTGAAAATCCTTGTGTCGGTAGTTCGAATCTGTCTTTAGACACAAATATGAAAAATCTATTATGGAATATGTTTGCTAATATTCAAAACGGACAGTTAGCAAAAAAAGCTTTTGTGACACAAAAAAAAAAAAAAATTTGCGAATATATTTTAAATGTTTTATGGGATGAAGGTTTTATTTTAGGTTATAAAGTAGAAAATGAAGATACTACTAAATTAAGAATTTTTTTAAAATACAATAATAAGAAGCCGGTCATTCAAACACTAAAACCAATATCAAAACCAGGTTTTAGAGTTTATTATTCTTTAAAACAGATTTGGAAAATCGATTCGAGTAAAACATTTTTAGTTATATCGACGCATAAAGGATTAAAGACTTTAAATAGTTGTAAAAAGTTAAAACTTGGTGGAGAGCCTTTTCTTATTATAAAATAAACAGGATTAAAATGAAATTTTCTAAAAAATTTAGTGTTAAAATACCTAAAGATATTAAAACAATATATTATACAGAACAAAACTTCATAGTATTAATAGGTCCTTTAGGACGAAAAATTCTAAAATTAAAACTTAAACTTTTTTAACAGACAAAAGTAATTATATATACGTAACGAAAATACAAAGTGAAAATCTTTCGGATAATAGAAAAAACACTGCGAGCATTGTGTGGAACTACTGTGGCATATTTAAAACAGATTATATTAGAGATTTCAGTAGTATTGTATAAAAAATAAGATTTATAGGCGTAGGTTATAAAGTTTTTCCTGTTGCTAAATACGAAGGACAACTTTTACAGTTTAAATTAGGATTTAGCCATTCTATATTTTATAAAATACCAAATACAGTAAAAGTAACTCCTTTTAAATATATATATATCTATATATTTGGTACTTCTTATTATTTTGTTACTCAAGCAGCAGCAACTATTCGTTTATATAAATTTCCAGAGCCTTATAAAGGGAAAGGTATTTTATATGAAAACGAAAAAATTAGGTTGAAAGAAGGAAAAAAGTCTAATGAAATTAAAAATCATATAATTTAAGCTCAAAATTCCTAAAATTTGAATTAATTAAATTAAAAATACTTCAAAAATATTCAGAGCAATTTAATTTAAAAAGAAAAATTGATCAACTCAGTATTTTTTAAAAAGCTTTATATATTATTAGTTATATCAACAAAATAAAAAAAATACTTTTTATAGGTATTCCTCAAAAATTCAAAATCAATATAAACATAAATTAAAAAAACTAAACATTCATTCTTACCTGACTCTTATCATACTAGAAATTTGTTTACAAATAAATTTAGAACTTATGGGTATTTAGAACTGGCTAAAAATCAAATTTTACTAAAAAAAGAGTTCAATTTAATTGTAGTAGTCAATTCAAAATTACTTTTACCCTTATTAAAAAAAGAATCATTAAAATGGAAAATCCCTATGGTAATTTTAACAACAGATGAAATGAAGATGACTGAAAGTAGTTTTTATCATATACCTGGTGAGTTAACAAATTTTGCGAAATTAAAGAGAAATTTTTTTTCATTACTCTTAACGCCAATATTAAAAAAGAATCGTAGGATTAAATACCGAAAAGTTAAAAAATGTATAAAGTAAAAAATCGAAGGCATAAACCCTTGTATAAAAAATTTATAGCATTAAGAACAAATGTACAATTTCGAAGGCGTTTATATTATTTAAAATTTAAAAAAAAAAAATGGGAGAAATTAATTGCATTTATAGATCGTCAACGAAATACTCGAAAAAAAAATTTTAGGGCTTACGATTTAGACAGATACTATTTGCCTAAGTTTCATAACCCATTTAAACGGCGATATAAATCAGTATTACATAATAAAAAGAACCAGTTTTTTTACGGTAATTTTCTTAAAAATTACTTGAAAAAACAGGTAAATTTGATAGTACAAAACAAAAAAATGTTGAACAAATATGTAAATCTTAATCTTTCATTTTTAAGTTTAATTGAAAAAGATTAGATGTTATTTTATATAGATCACATTTTGTACCGAGTGTTAGAAATGCTCAACAATTAATAATACATAAACATATTAAAGTCAACGGTAATACAATTACAAATAAATCTTTTACTTTAAAACAAGGAGATTTAATAGAAATTAATGATAAAGTGATACCTTTGATAATTGCCAATACACGTATCGCGTTCATATGGCCTTTACCTCCGAAATATTTAAGTATTAATTATAAAACTTTTGAAATCATTCTTAATGGAAAAATAGAACTTAAAAGTCTCTCTAATTTATTTCCATTTTTCCCTAATATCTACTTTTATTAAGATATTGCCGGTAAAGTTCTTGTGTTAATAACATTCTTCAGTAGCTCAGAGGTAGAGCGTGTGGCTGTTAACCACCAGGTCGTTGGTTCAAATCCAGCCTGAAGAGTTTTATTGAATGGAGATAATCGGATTTGAACCGATAACTTTATGCTTGCAAAGCATACACTCTACCAATTGAGTTATATCCCCTTTAAAGTAATAACTACAAAACGTTTTATAACTACTTTTAAGCAACCAAAAATTATTACTTAAACTTGTATGTGTGTTTTCAATGGTTATATTATTTTTCACTAATTTCTTAGTTCTATATTTTTTAATTTCAGTGTAATATAAGATCGTATTCGTGATATTAAAATAATAGAACAAATATAAACTTATTAATAAACTAAAAATTTGAGAACTTAATGTTAGTATATCAAACTGCGGCATTACAAATTAGACTCATTTGGTGGAATTGGTAGACACGTCAGACTTAAAATTTGATTCTATATAGAGTATCGGTTCAAGTCCGATAATGAGTAAAAAACCAAAATGATGGAATTGGTAGACATGCTAGGTTTAGGTTCTAGTTCTTTACAGAGTAAGGGTTCAAGTCCCTTTTTTGGTAATTATTAAAAGAAAATGTGGACACTTTTATTAGGTTATTTGTTTAGCGTTAACTTTGAAGAAAGTTTTTATAAATTATTTAAAAATGAATGTTATTATAGAAATATCACAACTAGTGCTAGGTATTTAACTTATCCTGAAGCAATTGCCGGTTGGCTATATCAAGAATATGTAAAACCTAAATATAATTTAACTGGAGCTAAAAAATTTATTTCAGAGCACGATTTTAGATATAACATTCTTACACAAATAATATTTATATTGAAATATTTTTTTACAAATATACATATATTATCGATTTTAGAATTTGGAACTTTTTTAATACTTTTCTGTGTGTATTTATTAATTTTTATTAAACATTACTCACTAAAATTTAAAGTAGTTAAACGAATTTCCTCCAATAATTATTTAAAATGGATTCATATAGGAATTCGTTGGGCAAAAGTCAAATTGGTTCAAATAATATATTTACCTTTAAACGATAAAATAGTTTTTAGTGTTTTATTTTTTTTATTCAAATATGTTTTTTTTAAAACTTATCTTTGGCTTGATTTTTTGGTTTTTTTTAGGCTCTTTTTTACTATAACAATTTTATTTATTATAGTGTTTTCCATTTTTTTACCTAATTACTTAATTTATAATTATCTGCTTTATAATTTTTCAAAAAATTTGGCATTGATAATAAAACTAGTCGTAAAAAAATTATTTATATGTTTTTTGTTAGCGTTAGCCATCATAGGACTAATTGTCATTGATATTGATATTGATATTCCTATTATCGATAATGAAAATTTTTTTAAAGAAGCTTTTTTTAAAACTCTGTTTTTTTTAGTTTATATAAGTTAAAAATAAAATGCCAACGATTAATCAATTATGCCGAATGAAACGGAAACCAAAAACAAAAATAAATAAAACGCCTGCTTTACAAAAATGCCCCCAAAAAAAAGGTATATGCTTAAAAGTTTTTTTAAGAACTCCTAAAAAACCGAATTCTGCACTACGTAAATTAGTAAAATTAAGATTAATGAGTAATAGAAAATAGTTACTGCATATATCCCAGGAGAAGGTCACAATTTACAAGATTATTCTGCTGTTTTAATTAAAGGAGGTAGAGTAAAAGATTTACCTGGAGTAAAATATCATTTAATTAGAGGAAAGCTTGATCTTTTAGGGTTGAAAAATAGAAAACGTCTAGATCAAAGTATGGTACTAAGAATTTAAGCAAATATATATAAGTTAGTTAAAATGAAAGAAAAACAAGTAAATTTAAAAAAATATATATAATCACTTAATGGTTAGCGGAATAAACATCTTTAGAAAATAAATTTTAAAAACTTTAAAAATTTTGCAAAAAAAATAAGAAAAATAACATAGAAATTATAAAGATGGCCGTAGTCAATTCCGCACCTATAATTCAATTGAGACAAATAAAAAAAAGAAAACGGAAAAGTATAAGAGAATTTCCTTACGTGTTAAAACAAAAAAATAGAATCTCTTTGGGAATTAAATCTATTGTTAAAATTCCAAGCACAAATTTATTCGACGAAATAGTAGCGTTTGCAAATAAAAAAAGCGAATTATTTAAGATCAAAGAAGCTAAGCATAAGCTAGCACTAACTAAAAAAAAATATATTTTTTTTAGATGGTTTTTTTAAAGATACGTCTAATAGGATTTGAACCTATAACCGTCGGGACCGAAATCCGAAACTCTATCCAATTGAGTTATAAACGCTTTTATAAACAATATTTAATATAAAAAATGATTCAACAACAAACGATTTTAAAAGTTTCAGATAATTCTGGGGCTAAAATAGCTAAATGTATAAAAGTTTTAGGTGGTTTTAAAAAAAGATTTGCTTGTGCGGGTGACATTATTGTAGTAGTTATTAGTCATTTGCGAAATAAATCTAAAAAAACATCTAAAGTTAAAAAAGGTGGGATTTATAAAGCATTAATACTACGTACAAAAAATCGTGTTAAAAACAAAGAAGAAACATTTACTTTTTTCAATGATAATGCCATAAGTTTGCTTAATAAACAAAACAATCCTATAGCAACACGTATAATTGGACCAGTATCGAAAAATCTAAAAACAAAGTATATGAAATTTGCAAGCATATCTGCAGGATTTGCCTAACCAAAACTATAAAGCAATGAGTTTTCTAGAATATTATTACAATAATATTATAAAATACGATTTAATTAACAGATATAATTATAAAAATATAAAAGAGATCCCAAAACTAAAAAAAATTGTTTTAAATTTTGGGTGTAAAACTTCTGAATTAAAAAAATTATCAACATCTTTGTTATTTTTACAGTTAATTACAACAAAAAAGGGTAAATTGACCATATCGAAACAATCAAATATAGTATTAAAAATTAGAAAAGGAAATCCTGTTGGGTGTAAGGTTATACTTGTAAAAACTTCGATGTATAAATTTTTATCTAAATTACTTCTAGAAGTATTGCCTCGTCTAAAAAGTAGAATTTTATTAAAAAAAACGTTCTATAATAATACTTTAACATACAATTTTGAAAATATTATGATCTTTAAAGAGTTAGAAAAAAACTATCTTGTATTTAATTTATTAAAAAATCTCCAAGTGACGTTCATAACGAATTCAATAACAAACGAAGAACTTTTTTTTTTATTAAATTCGTTTAAATTTCCAACAGGTCTTACAAAAAGTCTAGCAAATGTAACTCAATTGGTAGAGTGTAATCTTGCCAAGATTAAAGTTAAGGGTTCGAATCCCTTTTTTTGCTTAAATCATATCGGATAAGTGGTCGAGTGGTTTAAGGCGTTAGTTTTGAAAACTATTGTATTTAAAATACCGTGGGTTCGAATCCTACCTTATCCTCTAAATAAATACATTAAGCTAAATAACATAATCGGTAATGTGTTAGATTGCAAATCTTTAAATATCGGTTCGAGTCCGATTTTAGCTTTTATATTAAAAAATGATTAAATTAATTTTAGCTATTTTATTAAAAATATTATTAATTATTATTCCTTTGTTGATAGCCGTTGCGTATTTTACTATAGCGGAACGTAAAATAATGGGCATCATTCAAAGACGAAAAGGTCCGAATGTTATAGGATTTGTAGGTTTGTTTCAACCTTTAGCTGATGGTTTGAAATTATTTGTAAAAGAAACTACTTTACCAGGCACATCAAATATTATTATGTTTTTATTAGCACCTACTGTAACTTTTATATTAAGTTTAGTAGGTTGGGCTGTTATACCTTTTCAGAAAAATAGTACTTACTGATATAAATGTAGGTGTTTTATACTTACTAGCTACATCAGCGTTAGGTGTTTATGGTCTTTTGATGGCTGGTTGGGCAAGTAACTCCAAATACCCTTTTTTAGGAGCATTACGCTCTGCCTCGCAAATGATTTCTT